CAAATAGCTCAAAAGCTTCTAAGGATGATGTGCATCCAAGAACATGGTCTCCTTACCTGAAAAACAACCAAACCACTAGGGTGAGTAATCAAGTTACTCGTAGGAAGAAGCATATGCGTATACCCTAAAGTTTCAATGTCATTGCAAGATCAATATAGACGAATACAAGGGAACATTCCACTTAACGTCTATGTTCAAGGTGTTCTAAGGAATCATCTTAAGCTAACTTAAATATTTCTTTAGCAACACAAATCAATATCAATGTACTTAACAACATCAATTCGCCAATAACAAGAATTTCAAGCTACAATTAAGCATTCTAAGGAATCATCTTAAGCTAACTTAAATATTTCTTTAGCAACACAAATCAATATCAATGTACTTAACAACATCAATTCGCCAATAACAAGAATTTCAAGCTACAATTGAGCATTGGTTGTCAACTTGAAATTTAATGCGAAAACAAATAATGGAAGACTTGGACATCACGTCTCGGACTTAACCAAGATCAATACGGTTATTCCGGGCATTAACCCGTTGGGAAGACCACCCTAGTGCGCACTATCTCAATTGGGGAGAACTCATAACTCCCGCACTAAAGCCGAACTTTAGTCATGTCACATGTAACAATGTCCCAAGAGATTCCAAAATTTATATCAAGTTCAAAACTTATATATATATAATAAGGCATACAAACCACCTTCCATGCACAAGTATTTTGAAACCATATAAACCATGTCTTAGGGTTCCAAATCTAAAATGGCATGCCAAATGACAAATTCACATCATGATATTATGCACAATACAATATCACAAATTTATCAATTCAAGTCATGCCTCAATAACAAGCTCTATATACTAATTATCAACGTTTAGTAATAGACTCATAAATTAATCACAATTTGTAATTCACAAGAATATGGAATTATTATCACAAAAATATAGCAATTCAAGTCAATAAGAATTGCATATAACATTAATAATTCTACTAGAGTTCTATATAACTACCACATGTGAATTTACTAGAATTTAACATCTACTAAATTATATAATCCTTCTACACATGGTTTACACATATCATACATGCTTAAATCAATAAACCCTAAGTCAAGAAGTGAGGGTTTCCTATTATATGCAATATTATCATATTAAAAGCATGTGCATAATATATATTAAACCACAAGGACTATAAAACACTTAGAATATAAACATACTACCACCCCTACCTCAATAGAGAATTGAATCTCTATAATCCAAGCTACCAAGTACCAAATGGAAAACAAGGTTAGGATTCTTGAAGAGGAGAGTGAAAGGAATCTTTTCTCTCCTAAGGTCAAAAGTTTAGGGTGAGTGGAAGAGTGCCAAAAGTGAAGTCAAAGCTCTTTACTAAGCTTTCTCTAATGGAGTCTTTGCTAGGTTATGAAGAACAAGTGTAAAAGATGAAGGAGAAGGTGAAAATGGTGAGTGGAGTGTCTAGAGAACCTCCACTCACTATGTGCTCTTACACTACCTCTCACACACACACATGCAAGACTAAATCTTGAGCTTACACTTGTCACCAATCCAATGCCTCTTCCAAGACTTAATCCTAGACCCACACTTGTCAACAATCAATGGTTACATGTGCACCAATCCTAGGCCAACACATGGATGACTCTCCACCTTCCAATTGTCAAGAAACTATGGTACCAAGTCTCTCTACCCAATTGCCAACAAGTGGCACCATGAGAATGTGATACTTGTCACATTTTCCAAAAATTGCAAAATGGTCCTTTTTCAAAATATCTTCCAAAATGAATTGCAAAAAGGTCCTTAAAACGAAAAATAATTATTTTACATAATTACACTAAAACCCCAAAAGTTATAAATAATTACACTAAAGTATGCATTCATGCCCTTTACAAGAAAAGTACTAATCTAGCATGCTTTTCAAGAAAAGTAAAAATACCAATGTCATGGAAATCAAATACCATGAATGCATGCAAAACCGGAATCAAATCCGAGTACAACAAGTGAGGTTATGCAAGGAAAAACGAAAAATGGGAAAAAGACGAAAAAAGAAAATTACCGTAAATGAAAAAGGAGGAAAAAGACTGGGTCATTACATTTCTAGTCACAGTTTGTTTTGTTGTTTTATCATGTTGTGCTGGATATTGGGAAGTTCTTGCTTCTATTTAAATTAATACAACTTCATCGGTAGATGGATTCGGCACCCCCAGTTCTTGTTTTGCTGGGTAAGTTATAGCTGCTGTTATATGCAAATGTAAGATGGGCTTTGAATTTAGCCTCAGCACTAGAAAGTTGCAAAAAATGGCTGTTCTTTCTGTCACTAGATACGAACCAAATACAAATTAATTATTTTTATATGGAATGAGCACAATCTTCACCTCTATGATCACAATTTGAGAATATATTTCTGCATGGTAATGTAAATCAGCTTCCTAATTGATGCTCACGGTTTTCAGAACACGTTTATACACGCATATAAGTGCCAACAACCTCTCCCCCCTAGGCGATGTGGGATGTCACAATCACCCCCTCTTGGGACCCAGCGTCCTCCCCTCATGGGCTTGTGCACGCTCCCCCATTTCCATCTAGGGATTGGCTTTGATACCATTTGTCATGACCAGCCAAGGCTGTGTAGATATTGTCTGCTTTGCACACTTTCCGTGCTCATAATTTTCAAAACACGTCTGCACAATAAGGAGGCGTACACACATATAAGTGCAACAACCTCTTCCTTTAGGCGATATGATACGTCATGTCTTCCAGCATTTACAAGTAGATACATCTTTCCTCCTATATTTTAGTTTGATCAGTTGGAGGATTAACTTGATTTGCTCTCAACATCGGAGTTTCCTTGATAAGAACAATATGAACGGTATACAGAGATGGAATGCCTGCATTAGGAACTTCATTTTTAAGAAACTAGCAGGAGCATTTAACAGTTCTAAATATTTGTAGCCCACATGTTGTCGACAACAGAGCTGCGGTGCTGGCTTTTGTTGTGTTTCTCTAGAAAAATGCAACAAAGTTGGCTTTATTGAATCTTACAGTCATCTGTTCACCGCCTAAACCTTTCAAGAAAAGAAGTAGGAGATCAATGAAGTTCATGAAAGCCTTTCTAAGCTTGCAAACGAAGTGTCTTTTCATATGGGTAGTAAAAGCGGTGTGTCTTAGTTTAGATTCTTCTTTTTCTAGATCATCATGATAAGTGAATTCTGATCTAGTTTACTATTTTAGATTACCATGATAAACGCATTCTGCACCCCCATTTAGTGAAGCAGCTGATTGGTCAATGTCTGGTGTGAGAAGCATCTGTAAAGAACTTACATTTTTTAATGGAGTGAAAGTCTCATTGTAATTAATGCCATAGGTCAATGTAAAGTCCATTTTTTATTTTTGATAAGTATAGGTCAATGTAAAGTCCTTTAACTGATATAGCTTAAAATCTCTCTATTGTGCCATCCTCTCTGGACCAACTGTATAGAACTCACAACTAATGAGTTTCTATCCTTTCAGAAGAGGAATAAGAACTTAAGTTCCATTCCACAGAGTTCTCATTTCCAAGGGGTAGCTTTCTCTTCTTTGCCAAATTATGTGCTGCACAAGAAGACAATAAATCAAAACATGGATGCCACAACGGAACAATACACGCGCACACACACACACACACACGCATCTCATATATCCTGTGAGAAAGAAAGTTTTTCAAATGCAATGGCTAATATAGGCTCACACATTGTAAGAGAACCTGATTATTCCTACTAGAATCTTTGTTATAGTGGACTAGAATTCTAGATTGAAGTTTCAAACAAGGTTCGACAAGTTTTCATGTTATTCTAAAACTGAGGCCCATATTTACTTTTTCACACTTGAATGTTCGATAATAATCAAGCTCCATCTACATTCTCCTTTGAATCTCTATGCAATTGGTTTAGCCACTTTTGAGAGCTGGAGATCGCAGCTCTGTCTGCTAAACTCTAACTACATTGCTCTGTTGTGTTTTTTCCTTTTCTTTTACATTTTGTCCTTGAATTTGTTGGTTTTTTCCATTACTCATAATCTGATTGGGAAAAAAAAAAAAAAAAAAAAGCAGAATGACTACATAATATTTAAGCTGCTTATTAGGCACTGCTACCAGCCCAAACAGCTGAATATTTGCAAACACCACCCGTCTGGGAAACCTCACAGTTCTCAACTGGTCACATTAGAATGCTTTTAAACAAGGAAAAGAAATCTAATGATGGCATGGAAGACCAAGGTGGAAGAAACATTAACTTAAAAAAGATAGGAGGTGTCGATGAGGACAAAGCGAGACATGATTCAGAACACTTGTATTTGAGGTAAGTTATACGGTAGGACCACATTTTGGCTCGAGTGAAATGCACCACTAAGGTGGGGTACGTAGTCTACTCCAAGTTCAAATAGGCAAATGCAAAGATGATTTTTAAGATCATGGAGTTGAGGCACGTAAGACCAGGTGCTCCTGCGCTTTTGCAGTCTGCAAATAATCACATGAGTAGCGGTGGAAGTGTGCATGAGTCAATAACAATGATTGATAACATAGGCAGTGTTTGGCCATTTCATTGTTAGAGACTGGAGAACTCCATTTGTGTGACAAGTTGTAGCAGTAAAAAGAGAGGTTAGTCCTTAAAATAACTGAATTTAGTTAAAAATTGTGATCGGCAAAACACCACATTCCAAGACTAAAGGCATGCTTGTTTATTTGAGATATATAGTGTAACTGATTTGAGCTAGTACTAAATAAAAATCAGTGAGGAGGTCCAGGCATTTCGTATTGAAGTTGGTACTAAGAGAGCTGAGATGATCATCAACTCTTCAACTAAATAAACCACTTAAGTGGATGCCACTGACATGCAATAGCAGCAAAAGCATGTAGGTGTCAGTCAATCTTATCTATTAGTGAACTTGAGAATAGTCAAGACCATGCTCATAATTTTTTAACTTGTATATTTATTTGCTTTAATATGTTGTAGGTTATTCTGCGGTGGGGTCTGCAAAGAGGAACCAGTGTCTTGCCTTGTAGCGTGAAGCCTGATCGGATAAGGAAAAACATAGACATTTTCAGTTGGTGTTTGTCGGACGATGAGTGGAACCGCTTGAACCAGATAGAACCACAGGTATGTCTGTTTGGAAATGACCTTCTGAGTAATCTCTCAGACAGTAGGATTATGCCCGGAAGTGGTGGTCCTCTTCAAGCTGTGTATGAGATGGAAGATGATGTGGAATCCAATTCTTGATTTTTATGTTTTATGTAAGATACAGTGCCATTCCAGTTTGAAAATGTCTTGAAGTTAAAAATTTCATATACTTGTAGATCTTCTCTTTTGTGGGTGTTGAATTGAAGTCACGAGGACACATCATTATTAATTGGTTGAATTGGTGAATATTCTCCTTTAGCAAGGATTTTTTCAGTTTTTCCACCCTCAAGATTGTGTTCTGTGACATGAAGAGAAAGCCCGGCGATTCTAATTGATGTTTTTCATATTTGTATAATTAGTTTAGCTATTTTTGAACCCACCAGAAATTTGGTATTGGAACTAATTTTATTTATTTATTTTTTTGGAAGGTTACTCACTAATTTATACCCAACATAAATAAACAGTTAGCTGATTTGTAGTTTAGGTCAAATATTCTTTATCAATTTTTAAACATAAATAATTAGATAAAATGTTTAGCCTTTGTAGGACAAAAACTTAATTGTGCCGGTTGTAGAGATGACATGGTATTACTAACTTATTCAATACCGACACGTAATGATAGAATTTACTAAAATAAAACATTTTCACTTATGTGATATGATCAAATTGGTTGATAACACGGATTGATGGGTTCATCATTCTTACGTAATTTATTCTTAAATTTATATTTGTTGGTATTTTATTTATATTTATTTTATTTTATTAGTAGAGTTTTATATTTGTTTAGGTTATTTGTAATGTCTTATAATTTATTTTATTAGTAGAGTTTTATATTTGTTTAGGTTATTTGTAATGTCTTCTTCCTTCTTTTCCGGCCACTTCCCTCTTGATTAATGCCGTAGTGCTTTAGTGTTTATCGTAGGCCTTGGCGAGACGGTCCTTTCCCCCTTATTAGAATCCAGTTTTGGCCATTTTTTTAGTTCGGGTTTGAAGCCAAGTTTGGATTTTGGTGTGACCTCCTAAGGGTTTAATGTTCACCATGTTGTCCTCGACAAAACCACGAAGTATCGTAGGATTCGGAGTGGTTTCATTTTGGTGATATTTGAGATTTCATCTCAAATTGAGGTAGAGGATGTTTTAGGATTATGTATGTGTTGTATTGATTGCTTGCCATGCTTATACAACTTGTTTGCATGCCTTTGTATTAAATCTAGAAATTTAATTTAATTATTTCTTTGTATAAGATTTAATTCACATGGATGTATATGGCTTAAAATTAAATTATGGTATACTATTAATGTGACGACCCTGGATTTTTCAACCCAGTGTGTCCTGTGATGACCCGAACTGGATCCAGAATGCGGAAGCAAAAAATGAAACAATGGTATCTAGAGATACAACATGTCTCTAAGACACCAATGTGACCCTCAATAAGGTCACGGAACCCAAAAGAAACAAATGCTGAAGCGGCGTTTCAAAAAAGGATAAGAATGAACCTAGGGGCAAAATGGTTATTTCTAACATGAAAGTGGGTGCTACCAAGCACACCATTAGAAAGACAACGAAAAATTAGTGAACTTAGACTCAAGAATCACTTGATTCGGAGTCCGGATGAAGGAGATATGGCTAACGGAAGAAGAAGGGGCAAAAAGGTCAAAAGGAGCCAACCCTAGAACATCTAACCGGTTACCACACCCTTCTAACCGGTTAGAAGGCCAAAAAATATGACAACAACACTGCCCAAGCACATCTAACCGTTTAGATGACCCCATCTAACCGGTTAGATGAGCAAAAACCAGAATGTTCAACTCAAAAACCTGGCAGCAGGGGTTTTTCGTCAAAAAAATGGATTTTTGAGGGCCAAGATGACATTTTTTGGAAAAATACAAACAAGAAATCCCCCTCAAAATTTAGTTTTTTACATGACAACACAAAAGGAATCGAAAAATACTCAATGTAAGATGCCCAAAATGCCCCTCTATGAAATCAGGTCATGAGGGTCCAAAAAGCTGCTAAATGCAAAACTGAAAGCTGAACTTCGTGAACGATTTCCGGTACCAAGACGACATTTTCTGGAAAAACACAAAGAAAAAACCCCCCTAAAATCATGTTTTCTATTCAACCTTATCGAAAGAAGAAAATAAAACCACAGTGAAAAGTTAAGAATGCCCCTAGATCAGATTATGCAATAAAAACACAAAATGAGTCCATAGAAGGCTCAAATCACAAAGGATGAGGTTTTGCCCAGAAACGACCATGCACGCAAATGTAACATTCCTATTTAGATATGCTACAATGGTCCATAGCTTAAAAATACAACCGATGCAAAATCCGACCCCCCAACGGCCAAAATGACAAAAATGGAACTTGAAATGAAAACTCGGAATTCAAAATTGTGAAATGGTTTCAAAATACCATTTGACCTTTGGCCACACTTTATACATGGTTAATGAGACCCTATGGAAGAATCAAAATGGAATTCCCGCACCCAATGCAAACATGGCGAAACAAAAACTCAATATTTTTCAATATTTTTAGAATATTCCATGAAGTCAAAAGTTACATAGGATACAAATTTCATGTCATTGGCCTCCGGCCTGATCTCATACATGTCAAATATATTGTAAAGAGTGTACTCATGTACATATTACATATATGGAATCAAATATACACATTTTGACATATAAGGCTACAAGTGGCATTTCAAGCCAACCTTTATAAGAACTAAAAACTGTCAAGTCTACAATCCTCTAAGTAATGATGAACATCACTAACCAAGTCTTCGTACTTGAAACAGCCCCCAAGTAACTTCGGGGTGAGTAAACAAGTTTACTCATAGAGAATGAGCATGCATCGACTCGATTTCTTTAGAGATTTTTACATTGACTTGGAACAATTCAAAAGGGGTCATGCAACCTAACGTCTATGTCAAAGGTTAGACTTAGGGAGCATCTTAAGCTACCTTAAAACCTTTCTAGCATACATCACATCCTTCATGCAATTCCAAACGACATAAGAGCATGCTATACAAGCAACACGATAAAGGTTCCCAAAGTTGTCAACTTGAAATCTAAGGTACGAGAACAACTAAATATAACCATTTAGCATAATTAGAACTTCTAATACAATGCATCAAGGAATAGATTCTCAAAGTTATCAACTTGAAATCTAAAAGTGCGAGATCAACTAAATATAACAATTTAGCATAGATGTACTTAACAACATCAAAATTTACCATGATTTATTGAAATCATAAAGCTCGGATGTACTTAACAACATCAAAATCGCCAATAACTAAAATCACAAGTCACAATCAAACATGATAGTTAACTTGGAATTGAATGCGAAACCAAATAGTGGAAGACTTGGACATCTAAGTTCGGAATTCTGCCGAGACCTCAACGGTTATTCCGAGCATTAACCTGCAGGGAAGACCACCCTAAGTGCGCACTATCTTAATTGGGGAGAACTCATACCTTCCACACTAGAGCCAAACTCTAGCCATGTCACTTGTAACAACAATGTCCCAAGACTAAAAAAATAATCAAAATAAGTTCACAACTTATACATAAATTATATAATGCATGAAAACACCTTCCATGCTTAAGTAGGTTGAAACCACACAATCCGTGCCTTAGAGTTTCAATTCTAAAATGACATGCATAATGTCAATAACGAAGTGTGCAATTTATTACACAAGGTAACAATATATTCCATAAAGAAAACAAGTCCTCATGAATATAAATATAACAACAATGTTATCAATTGCTCAAAACATAACCAAGTGAATACATAACAAGTCCAAGTCTATGATTTGAATATAGAAACAACTTTTACAACACAGATAGATCCATGGAGCCACAAGATAGAATTTCATTAAACAAAATGATTAAATTCTCTAGATTTCAAATAACCTCAAATTAATATATGTTAAGCAACATATCATGGACTTTACATATATCAAATCAAAAGTGCAAGATGAGCAAGATATCATCAAATAGAATTTAATTAATTTAAATCAATTAAATTTTTAGATTTCAAAAGTTGTTCAAATGATCTCAAATTAATATATATCAAGCACTAAGTCATGGTCATACCATATATCAAGTCAAAAATGGAATACAAGCAAAACATAATTAACTAGAATTTAAATCAAATTAAATTCATTTAATCTCTAGATTTGAAAACTCATTTAAATCATTCCAATTTAATATATATCAAAGATCATGTCATGGCCATGCTATATACCAAGTCTAAAATGAGTTCTAAGCAAGCTACTACAAATTATTAATTTCTCAAATTAACAAAAGACATGCATACAACTTATATATCACTACAAAAGTAAGGAATACCCTTAGGTAATAAATTATAACACCCCCTACTTCACAAGAGGATTGTTCCTCTTGAATCTAAGGCAAATCAACACAAAATGACAAACCCTTCAAGGGTTATGAAGAGGAGGATGAGGGGAACAAAAAGTATTCCCAAGGTTAAGCTTGGAAATCAATGGAAGACTCTCAAAACCAAAGTCAAAGCTTAAGGCTCTAAGCTTCATCCATGGAGGCTAGTGTTTTTGGTAAGGAAGATAAAGAAATAATGAAATGAAGTGTGAGTGGAGGAAATAGAAATCCTCCACTCACTATGTGATCTTACACCATGGTCAACACACACAAATTTGGTCAATTGCATAAAAACCCTTCTTTAAAATCATAATCCCAAAGTGGCCCAAAAGTAATTTGCAAGAATAAATTGTGAGCCTACACTTGTCACTAATCAATGGCTCCTTCCTAGGCTTAATCTCAAGCCTACACTTGTCAACCATCTAAGCCAACAAGTGCACCAATCCTAGGCCAACAAGTGGGTGAATCTCCACCCTCCAAATGTCACAAGATGATGCATCTAAGTCACTCCACCCCAAAGCCAACAAGTGGCACCATGAGAATGTGACACTTGTCACATTTTCTAAAAATTACAAAATGTCCTTTTCCAAAATATCTTTCAAATTAAATTACAGAATGGTCCCCAAGATGAAAAATAATTACTTTATTTAATTACACTAAAACCCCACAAGTTAAAAATAATTACAATAAAGTATGCATCCATACCCTTTACAAGAAAAGTAAACACTTTGCATGCTTTTCTAAGAAAGTAAAAATACATATGGCATGGAATATAAATATCATGGATGCATGCAAAACCGGAATCAAATCCGAACACAAAAAGTGAGGTTGTGCAAGGAAAAAGGATAAACGAGAAAAAGACGAAAAGTGAAT